CTATTGAAATGGCTATGATCAATTTATGCATCTCATCTTATGACCTTCCTGATCGAGAGGAGCGTCAAGCTGGTTGACAGTTAGAAGTGGTGAATTCAAAAACTGACCATCATCCATGAAGTATTTGACCACCGGTTTAAGCTAGCCATCTAGAGAGTTGTAGATTACCTGGTGAGAGTTCATTAAGACGCTAACATCCAATGTCTTTTGAATGTCGGTGACATAGAAATAAGAAAAAAAAACAGTTTATGATATCGCTCAAAATCAATCTCAATGGTACAGCTGCATTCAGTATTTTTCCGGCTTTTATGTTCCTGGTGTAACATAGAGCTACTTCAAGCTAAAGGCTTGAAGTTTCGTTAGCAGTGGTGTTTATTTATTTTTACGGGATGGGGTTGCTGCTAGCTTCATCCCAAACCTTCCATTTTTATCTTATTACCGACTTATCCAGGTGAAGGGGTGTGTCTGTAGCCGGGAATTGTACCCCAAACCATATGAGGCATGGTTGGCGAATATCCTACTGCAGTGTCATTGACGCTTCATTCAGTATTTATGAGCTCTCATATTCGTTAAGCCTTCATATTTCTCCATGTCAATACGGCTTTTTTCCCCGTGAACTTCTGCTTATTATGATTCACTTGAATCGATCTGTTTAGTCTACCTTTGTGTGCTACACAGTGAGTGACAATTAGAATTGCTTCACTTGTGTGTTCAAATTCCTATGCTAAAACTTAATCAGCTCATTAAAGACTTTAATAAGCTACGAGATATGTTTCACCATGAATTTGTATCAATTATAGAACATTGCTTAATTCTTGATATAAGTCTGTCTGTCTGGATTCAACGCAGAACTTGGCACCGAAGTGCAGCACTTCGAGTTGCCACGTTCCAAATACCACACAAAGGTAGACAAGAAGATGAGTGAAGAGAATCAATAGAGTTTGACAAGTATAAGAGTGAAACAGAATGGGTAATGGTAGAAAGATTACAGAGACTGAATACATCTGAACTGGCCATTGAAAACGATTTTGAGACATGTCACCTATTGTCTCCAGCCATTAATTCCTAGAGTCCCGAGGGCCCCAATCCGGAAGTCTGCATCTCCCTACCTGACTCAGTTTAACTGTCAAGGATTTCATGGATTGATGAGGCCATGTTTTTGTTTGGCCACCACCACTTACTCTTTTCCAACCTGCACCTCTATCAGCTAGTAATGCCCGTCGGGGGAGGAGATGGTTAGGCATGCGCAGCACGTGACCTAGCCATCTCAGTCTATGTAACTTTATAGCCTTGTTGATATAAGTATTAAACTTGGGCACTGTGGTAGAGTATAACTCCACTGTAGATTGTTATGTTAGATTGCAAAATAAAACGAATAGAAGAAGGTAAACTACACACTAGTGTTTATAAAAAACCAACGCATTCTAATAGATACTTAAACTTTAATTCATCTCATCCGTTTACTGTTAAGGCAGGCTTAGTGAAGTCTCTAACAAACCGAGCAGTAGCACTAAGTAGCACAAGAAAAGACCTAAATGAAGAAATTATATAGATAGAAGAGGCGTTGGTGTTCAATAACTATCCTATAAAATTCATTAGGAAGATCGAAAAAGACCTACAGCGAATTAAAAATAATTGTGAAACTAGTAATGATAACATAAATAAGAAAGAATATAAGTCATCTACAGTTTTTTCCATATAAGGAGGGGATATCTTAGACCCTACGTAGGCTTTTTAATAAAGCAGGAATTAGGGTGACATTCAAACCTACAAACTCACTCAGAGACAAGCTCTGTAGGCTAAAAGACCCGGTGGACCCAATTAAACAAAATAATATAATTTACAAAACACCCTGCAATGACTCTGAGTTAGGTGAACCACATAGGTCAAACTAGTAGATCGGGGGTAATCAGATTGGCGCAACATAACAATTTGGCTAAGGTAAGAATGGTTGACCCAAAGAAGATAAGTAATTTAGAGAAAAGCTCAGCAATTGCACTACATGAATTAACACACAATAGGGTGGGAGAGGGTTAAAATTCTAAGAATTAATCTATGTAGATGGAGAGAGAGTGATTGATTACTGAATCCTGCCTGGTTCATTGAGTCTACACCCAACGCAACACATGCAACAGAAATGACTCACTTCAAATACCAGAGATATGGAAGGTATTATTACCGCCAGTCAAATCAGAGGAGGATAATAAATAATCTTAAGTTTCTATCTCAATTCAAACACATCACAGCTTTCTAACATGTAACTTATTATGACTACAAAAACACTCGTCTTATTTCCCATCTGATTGTATTTGACTGATAATACTAATATTATTTCTGAATGTACTTTTTCGTATACTGATTTTTATTTAAATATCTGGTCAATTCCCCACATGTATATAAATGAAGGAAAAAGTTGTGTGAGTAGCTTGATATGATTATGAGCAGTCATAGTTTGTGCACGAAACGTCACCAGTTAATATTACTGTGTAACACTGTGTGATTTATCAAAATAAAATCTTATCTATAATGGAGTTATTGCCTAATTCTTTTCTGTGACAATTCAGCATGGTGCACACGCCTACCTGCCTACCTACTAGGTGTTCAAACCCAGGACATTTACGCATTAGGTTGGGATCCGATAGCTTATAAACAATAATTTTTGTAAGTGAGAAATTTTCCTCAATGTCTATCTACAAATGCAACACTACTAAATTAGTGGCTAACTAAAAGATCGGTTTCATAGGTTTGTGATAAGAAGTCATGACTGCTGGGTTCCACGAAGTCAAGTGAAAGAACAAACACAGATATTCATCAGTGAGTGACATAGGATAGATGTGGTGCTGTAAAGTGATCTGGCAGGAGTTAGAATTCACAAGCTATTTTTACTGGATGATAAAGCTGTTCGTTTTGGTAACTCGATGTAAATAATACTTTATTACTGTGTATTATATTAAACAAGTTGGTTTAATATGTGTTTACCGTGTACTGTAGTGCGTTATTTAGTTTTTGTTTCATGAGATTGACCAATGAGAGCTGATTAAGTCAAATTTTTACTATCAATAAATCACACGAGGAAGTATACTGTTGAGAAAATGGATATATCGGTTGTACGACTAACTGACTAACTCAAATAATTACGTAGATACCTTAATGAAAATGTGTTGGTTCAAATGATTACATCTGTAAACAACATACCAAAATAAGAAAGCATAAATAGTTTGATCCTAGTTTGGGGCTCATCATCAGTACCCACTCACCACCAGGACTTTAACCTGAGACCATCAAGTCACACGGCTATACAGCCATTGTGAGTCCATGTCACCAGCGAGTATTTCTTCTCAGTCGCGACCGGTCGACCCCACTGCTGATGCCTTCTCACTAGAACTCCAGATGACTTCGTTCAGTAGCCAATCACTAGTGAGAATCAGATTAATTTTCATGAATGACTTCGTCCGAATTTCATTTGTTTGAAGTTTGAACACGGATTGATATCAGTTAGAATATGACTGACTACAAGATGCATTTACCTACAGTTATAATATGAAGTAATCAATACTGGAGTCCACAAACAGCTCCGGAGTGAGGACAAATAGTAGCCGCCAATGACATTAGTTGGTGATGGTGCTAAAGTTATGAATTAGTAGAAGTTAGAATTCATGGGCTGGCTAGTGAGTTGGGTTCAAGTGCCTGAATGGTCTACTAGCTTGATTTGTAACCGGGTGTGGTTACTGCTTATGATTCCTAAACTAGAATGAACCAGCTGTCCAGTACTCTCAGAAGTTTTCACCGGTTCTCTAGCTGATATCAGTCCGTGGTCAGACTTGAAATAAATGAGATCTCTAGAATCTGATTGTTGAATATTACGCCTAAGAAAAATTTCGAAAAATCGAAATCAAACTAAATTTTACAGCATTTGACGATGTCATTCCCTTATATCAGAAGTTGTTTCACATCTGGTGGTGATTATTTGAAATTCATTTGTTTTATTTAATGCCTTTGAATTCTGAGTGAAAAACGGAGCTTCAAAAATCGACACTTTCGAAACGGTCGAAATGTTTTTATTTGTTTGATTCAATTCCGTTTTTCACCTTGACTAATTGTACCGAAAAGCTGAGACTCAGAACTTAGGACAAACGCTTATCCACCAGGCTATTTGAGTTATGAATGAAGAAAGCTTTGACTAGGATTCCAGTATCAGTGGAAACAATATCATTCACTGGGGATAGCAAGCACGTCCAGTTGACGAGTCCCAAATAAGATGAAATGCGCATCATAGATTCCACTGCTAGTCACCATCCACTTCAAGCATCATCAAAGCGTTTATTTTATGTTCTGGCATATCAACAAAGGCCGAATATTTTGGTCATTTATTATCCTGTGATCAAGTGAATTTTATATTTGTACATCAGCGTTCTGGGTAGAATTCATTGAAAAGTAAAGTTGAATACAGGATTTCATCATGAGCTGACATTGGTTAGAGAACCGTTGGAAAACCCGGGAGTACTGATCAGCTGTTTCGTTCTAGTTTGGAACTCTTCATCTGCATGCACCCACCGGGGTACGAACCCAGGACCTTCTGGTTACAAGGCGAGTTCGTAGACCATTGAGCCACTGAGACCTCATCCAATGGCCCATGAATTCTAACTTCTGCCAATTCACGATATAGCGCAACCGCTAAGCAATGTCTTCGGTGAGTATTTGTCCTCATACCCGACCTGCTGCACCCTATTGGTCATGACTTCTCACTAGAACCCCAGGTGACTACCTACCTGAATAAGGCAAGTCGCTAGTGAGCATCTTACCGGTATTCAAGTCCCAAACTAGGACGAAACAGCTGTTCAGTACTCCTGGGTTTCCCAGTTAATCTCTAACCAATGTCAGCTCATGATGAAACCCTGTAACCAATCAAATTCCTACAAACCAACATTTGAATAAAGTTGAATAATTATTTCTCTTTTCCACCTTCATTTTTACTTTTATTTTCGAAATTCTTATTCAAGGGTTTAATTCAAGCAGCTCATAGTACTAAAGCTTGGATTGTAACCTCTGGATTAAACTTGGGCATTGTACGCGTTGTTGGTGATGCTTTACAAGATCAAAGTTTTTATTCTGATAAATGGAAAAATGTCGGCAGTCTTCGTTGTCTTGGAATTGCTCCATGGGGTTATGTGTTGAATAGAGAAACACTGATTTCTGAGGTAAGTATTTCTTGAATAAAAACAAGAATTTTTTCTGTATTTTGAAGTTTCTTTAATGTTAATAAGTTTGATTTCCCTCAGTGGAGTTGTTTATTCCACCTCCAACCTCACCTGTTTTTGTGAACTTAGAACTTAGCTAGTGAACTATGTGAGGTTTAATGGATGGCGACCAGCATGGGTGAGGGTGTCAAAGGCCCGCTTGATAGTGCAACGCAAACATTCATTAATTTGAACTCAGTCTGACTGAATGACTGGTTTCAGCGTAGAATTTTGCACAAATGTACAGTAGTTCGAGTTGCCACTCTCCCTCCATGTAGCACACCAAGCAAGAGAAGGGAGTAAAGACAGGTACAAAAGAGAGAGATAATAAAGACAGATATGAGGCAAAATGTATAGTAATGTGGAAGAGCAATATAGTTTTGTTGGATACTATAAATCAAAAGGAGAGGATTCATCTGCGTCATTTACTAACAACGACGATTTTGAACCATATCACCAATCGTCTCTAGCCTTCATTGGTTCTTGCCATCCTGAGGACCCCAACCAGACATCAGACGCCGTCTGGGTTCCTTCGAGTTTTCGCTCGATAAATCTTGAAGAATGTCCAATTTCTATGAGGACTCTCCTAAGTATCTTCAGTTCACCATCGATTGCAACATTGGTACATATCCTTCTTATTCCTAAGAGTAGAGAGTGGATCAGATTTCCGTTTCTACTTAAAGTGACCCAACTATGTAAATTCGTGTATTGACCATTCCATATTGGTTTCCTGTAGATCAATCTTTAAAGAGAACCATCAAATCTCCTTTTTTGGTAAAACATCCAAAAAATGGAATTCCGAGTTCATTTCTGATTCTGACGTGAACTGGATAGCACGATGGTAGTTGTTGAACTCCCTAGTTATTATCTCGATTCTGGCATTGTCGTCACATATGGTACATATGACTTTAAACTCCCTGAAGATGACTTTGCCGATAAAGATAATTTCTTCGCTGAATTGTCATTTGGTTTCATATAACTTAGTCCTCTGGTCATTCATCACTTTTTTTTTCTCCCCTCTCTAAAGGATCACAATACACCTATACGATATGTTCTTTCAAATTTCATAGCTACCGGTTGCCCAGTTTCATTAAATGAAAATCATACACATTATATATTTGTTGATGATGGTAGACGTCGAAGATATGGTGGGAGTAAGTCGGCTGAATATCGAGCTAAACTAGAAAAACAAATCGCTCTTCCGCCTAACAGTAAGTGAATTTTATTTCTGCAGCGGGAAGTCATTTTGTAGGGTTTTTTGTTTCTTGGCTATTAATAGCTTTACTGCAGCCAATAATTGATCCACAATGGAAGACTCAGAGGGGTGTTCGAAGTGAATACAGCAATCAGACAAGGCTACCTGCCTATTATCACCGGTGATATTCCTAATTGTGGTGGACAGGATTATCTGTGAGACTTTGCGTTGGGAGTGAGAAGACATGAATTCCCTGCGTAGACAATTTATGTCTAATATCACTCAGACTTGAAGACTTGGAGGCGAGAACCAACAAACCGGCTGAAGCAGCAGTGTAATCCGGACAGGACTGCAGTTGAAATTAAAGAAGACGGTGGTGGTGAAGTTAACCAACAGACAACAATAACAACAACAACAACCAGTACCGACCACTATCAACGGTAGAGATTTGACAGAGGTTACTTCCTTTACTCATCCGGCCAGTAAGCATGCTTTCACCTACAGGCACACAGCACAGATGAAGCTGTCAATCCCAGCATGATTTCGAAAGGCAAGACACACCTTCTTCAACCTGAAACCAGTTTGGAGATTTTCTGCACCCAGCATAAAGAACAAGATTCGATTTTTAAAACAGATGTGGAGTCACTCATTTCTTCTATATGGGTCAGAAACGTGCACTGAGTTTGCGTCACTGAAAGGATTTCCAACGAGTTACAGAATTTTACCAACAGCTGCCGCCTTCGTTGGCTCCATATTGAGAATCAAGTGGCTAGTTGGCCAGAAAGAATTAGCATCAAGAAACTCTAGAGATGAACAAATCAACAGGCGACAGTTGACTGCTCAACAAATATGTACGAGAAAATGGAGATGGATTGATCAGGCATACGTTGAGGAGGCCGTCGAATAACATCGCACTCAATGCAGGCCATCACTTGAGTGGAACTCCAATAGAAAGTTATGAGTAAGTCTTCCTATTGTAAAGTAGAGGAGATCGTGCGAAGAGGAGATGAACGATTATAGGCAATCAGGGGGTCAATCAGCTGAAGAGGACAACAGTAATAGAAGAAAGATGTGTTATTGAAGCCCTACTCAAAGGAATAATAATATTATAGTAATTATGGAGTAAATAATCTCTTTATCATCCGATTATCTTGTAACAACGTTAAGCTCAAGAGTTTATGTCGAATAATGAAACATTAAACGACTAGCTAATGCGACGAAAATCCGGTTATTCCTTGAGTCCAATTTAACAAGACGTTTCTGAAGGCGTATAAGTATTCACTTTCGTATTCTTCTTTGACGAAGACAATGTATTTGATCACTGATTGGTATCAGTTAGATAACCACTAAAAAACCCTCGCGGAGTACACTGGACAGCTGTTTCGTCCTAGTTTGGAACCTTTCATCACTACGCACCCAATGGAGGGTCTATAAGCTCGTCTTGTAACCGGAAGATTGTGGGTTCGAGACTTAGTAGCTGTGTACTACTGATGAGTCGTAATCTGGAACAAAACAGCTATTCAATACTCCCTAACGGTTTCCAATATGTTTCTCTAACTTATGTCAATCCGTAATCAAACTTCAAATAAATGAAATCCTTACAAATAAACTCATGAAAGGAAATATGGTAATTTGTTTGCTTAGCTTCCCAGGCTACTGGAAAGTTCAGTAAACTGTTCTGTAAAAGAGATTTGGGAACCATTCAGACCACAGATTTATTATATGATTGCTCTTTTAACCGTTCGCCCATCAGAAATTGTAATCGTGTAGTAGATGACAAACTTTCAGACACTAATTTTGATTTTTCTTATAGTGAAATTGCGATTTTAGTCTGACCATACAAGGATGAGTATTTGACAATATGATGTTTTCCGTTTGTTGTTTTTTTGATTCACGCGTCTGAGTTAAGAATCTTTGTCAACTTTTCCCGTCTGATTATCGCGGTCCCCGTAGGATTCCTTCATTCAGAAAAACACCATGGGAATGATTTTGAGGTCCAGTTAGGGGCGTCTACTTAAAGATGGAGATGTTACCTACTCAGCGTTTGTTGATTCACAACAACAACTTAGTGGATCGAGCTGCTGTGATATTCGGTTCGAGATAGAAATCGGTGGCATTGATGCGGTAGCTTATTTGTTTCTATGACTATCGAAAGTAATCAGTGACTAGTATTCCTTTTAATTTTCCTAATGGGTATGCCTACTTGATCATATTGTACTTGTTTAATTATATTATTTCAAAATTATTCACGAACCGACTTCAGTTAGATAACCACTAAAAACCATCAGGGAGTACTATACAGTTGTTCTGTCTTAGCTTGGGACTGTTTAACAGTACGCACCCATAACTTCACTGGGGAACAAAACCATGACTTCTGGGTTGCAACGGAAGCTACTAAGACACACTTCGCTGCCTGATGAAAGATTTAACGTGAAAATGAGTGGATACATTTGTATTGGTTTCAGGATTTCATCATGAACTGACATTCACTAGAGAACCAGTAGGCTGCAGCAGGTCAGGTGTAGGAACCGGTACTCTCCGATGACACTGGTTAATGGTCGTGATGTATCGTCAGTTGGCCATTTGACCCGGTCCGAGTATTTAAATAGTCTACAAGCTTGCCTCATAACTGGAAGGTACTGGGTTCGAAACCCTAGTGGTAGGTGCGTTCTACTGTAAAGTCTCAAGCCAGGACCAAACCAGCTATCCAGTACTCTCTGGTAGTTTTTTCTAATGGTGCTCTAACCAATGTCAGCTCATGATGAGATCCATTAACCAAACAAAGCCTCGTCAACCAACCAACAAATTTGGGCTGTTCCGCTATAGAATCCTGGGTATTTAATGACTCCTAATATTTGTTCACGCACTACATCTTGTAAATCATTTTCTTGATAGAGTGATTTCATTCGCTTTGAAGCGAACAACTAGTTGTGGTCAGTAGGACTCTGGTAAATGTATTTATTCATAGCTACGAATGCTGTCATTGTGAAGTCCTAACTTTAGTTGTTCTTAATTAGTATGGGGTATCCTTCTTTTCTTAAGAAACTGTCTGCCATATATTACGATGACTGGTTTTATTCGAGGTTATTCGATGTCCATCATCATCAAATTGAAACTGATTAGATATCAAGTGTGAAATCATATGCTCTTCGATGGTGTTCACTTTGTATATATTGATTATTCTGAAACGTTTATTTTTTGGGTTCCATACCAACTGTTTGTGTCACATATAATTTGTGTTTAAAACTTCAGTGTTCCTGGAGGATAATAGGCAACTGTTGGAAAGCTGCAGTCTTGACCGAACTCATGTCTCTTCTGAAATTCAAACACGGATCACCCAATGCTGTCTGCATTCAGAGATGTTACCACAGATTGACTTCGTGTAACACTCTAATAGATACTTTGATTGGGCACTAAGTAGTTTGTAATGTCATGAGTCTTGTCGTACAGGAAGTCAGTCATCAGTTCGAATATCTCAGTGGTAATGTCTCTGACTGCAGCACTCGGTGAGTAGTGTCATTAGTCCCCTCAAGATTGCAGATACACCTCGCTGACTAGTGATGGTCAAGAAGCACGAAATCTAGGTCAAAGGCTTTCTGTGAAAGGTTGCCTCCAAACATCTATCAAGAAATCAGAGTCACTCGTAATGTCGAGTTAACTAGCATAATGGCCGCATTGCATGACATCACTTACTTTCTGGCTTCCAGTGAAAGTACTTCAGTGTTTGATCGATATCAACCTAATGTTTTCAAATGTTATTCTATTTTATTATTATCGTTCGGTTGGCTTTCGAGGGTAACATAAGGTTTCCAGAGCATTTCGCAATTTTGTCATGTTTCCATCAATCTTCTTTAGCTGATTCCCTGACTTCCTATAGTTTATCATCTCGTTTGTGTGACCCTCGGATGCACGCCCAACTCATCGTTTCCCGTTCGAGTTGCACTTGACGATCTCAGCGTTTGTCCGACTCATCTCGATTTTCTTTCACAAATTCCTTGGGAAATCCGTCCTTGATTGGACCGTATTCTCAATAAATGTCGGGGTATTTTTCGTTTGTAAATTAGACTTTTTTTACCATATATAACGAAGACTGTTTTTATACAGGGTTTTCAGTCTACAAAGTTCATTCTTATAACCCTAATGTTTGTTGGTTGATTGGAGGCTACTATCAGAAGGTCTTGGACTTTCTTTTTCGTGCTTTTGGTTAGCACTCGTCATCAAGATGTATGTGAACACCATGAGAAAATTCAAATCCCTGCTTATATTCCCTCCCCCTCCAAGAGTCGCTTCCAGTGGTGAAATCAGAGGCGTTACCACTCAGCCAATCAGACTTGCAACTGATCTCCTATAAGACTAAATATGCATTACAATAATAATTCCTATCTGGAATCCAACCAAAGTACTTCACAGTCTGTTCTATCGAATGCATGAATCTTTCTTACTTACATTCGCTTATAAGTCGTTTTATGTGCACATATTTTTTATTAGTCACGATCGATCCAGTTTTGCGCATTGAATTTAACTGAATAATTATTTTTTTTCTTAACTCTATTTTTTATTTTAGAAGGTGGTTTTGGTATTCCTGTCGTCCTTGTCATTGTAGAGGGTGGTCATGATGTATTTATAGATGCGAGAAATAGTATTATCGAAAATGTACCTGTAGTTATTTGTTCGGGTACAGGTCGAGCTGCAGATGTTCTAACTCTGGCTATGCTTTTTCGTTTAAAGTATAGGTGAGTAGGTTATATTTAATAGCAGTGCACGCTGATGAGATACATTTTTTTCTTCAATGTGGATATTTTTGCATTTCGTCCTCTTCAATATACCGTTGCGTTCCGAACAGAACTTGGACTTGACACGCAAGCTTTAAGCTATGAAATTTTCCCAAGAGTGTTATGTTATTTAGGACATACATATGTATATGAAACTTGGGCACTCTGGTAGTATGTAACTCCGTATTAGTTTGTTTATTAGATATATCACTGAGTGTAATAGTATTATTTACTGAATGATGAGGTTTCAAACAAAATTTATTGTTCATAATCATTACATCAATTATAATCACACTACTTCGAAACTTGAGTTTTATAGTTTTTCATTGTTCTCTCCTATTTGTCGTCGTATGGGTAGTAGAATTTTCCAGATATCTGGGTGGATAGATGTTGAATCATTCCTATTACACGTGTTTGCAGTTGATTCGATAAACAAAACTTCCGTTATCAATCTCCACCTCAATCCTGTCATATAAGATTTCCTATCATCTCTCTCCCTACCTTGTTTTATTAGATTTTAAAACTGTCATCTTATCCCACCATCCTATTGTATGGTTGATTGGGTATAATTCTATGTAGTGCTATAGCAAAGCTATTCACTTACGAGTTCAAAAGCCAGGGAGGGGAGCTTCCAGTGTTAGATTGTAGCGTAAAAATGAAAGAAAATGCAAAGTTAAACACTAGTGTTCAAAGAGAACCCACACATTCAAACCGATATTTGGATTTCTGATCATCCCATCCTATGTCAGTAAAAATAGGATTGGTGAAATGTTTGAGTAATAGGACACAAAAAGTAAGTAATACCAGGTAAAATCTAAAACAGGAAATGAGGAATACAAGTGGATCTTCAAAACTTCCATACAAAGGAAGAAACTCGGAGCCTTACGTTGAATACTTAACAATGTAGTAATAAACGTGGTGTTCAATCATCCACAAACCCTATTAGAAACGATCTTCATTGGTCAAAGGATCCTGGGGCAGCCATTAAACAAAGCAATCTAGTTTATCTAATATCTGTTTCTGTCTGTCTGGATTCAACATAGAACTTGGCACCGAAGTGCACCAGTTCGAGTTGCCACGTTCCAAATACCACACAAAGGTAGACAAGAAGATGAGTGAAGAGAATCAATAGAGTTTGACAAGTATAAGAGTGAAACAGAATGGGTAATGGTAGAAAGGAATATGAAAGATTACAGAGACTGAATACATCTGAGCTGGCCACTGACAACGATTTTGAGCCATGTCACCTATTGTCTCCAGCCATTGATTCCTAGAGTCCCGAGGCCCCCAACCCGGGAGTCTGCATCTCCCTACCTGACTGACTCAGTTTAACTGTCAAGGATTTCATGGATTGATGAGGCCATGTTTTTGTTTGGCCACCACTTACTCTTCTCCAACCTGCACCTCTATCAGCTAGTAATGCCCGTCGGGGGAGGCGGTGGTTAGGCATGCGCAGCACGTGACCTAGCCATCTTAGTCTATGTAACTTTATAGCCTCGTCGATTGATTTTCCCTCTTTGTCCAATGCTCTACGCCTAACGTCAGCATTACTTACCTTATTAAACCACCTAACATGAGAAAGAGATCGCAGACATCTATGATCGAAAGCAGACAACCTTTTCATGTCTTCAACGCGTATTGGCCATGTTTCAGAGCCATAGACAAGGACGGAGCGAACTGCTGAGCAGTACACACGTCCCTTGGTTGATAACCGGATGTCACGCCTACGCCAGAGATGGTGTAAGTCAGCGAAAGCAGCTCGAGCTTTTCGGATCTAATACCCTGGTGTAATGATTGTCGGATCAGATACATGAGTCAAAGTAGTGGAGAGGGGCCAGTCAGAATCGAAAACCAAGTGAAATGTGGATTGATTAACGAAACACTAAGATAAGAAATCCAGAAAATAGTCCAGCTATGTCACTCACTACATGCAGTTACACACAAGACATCCATATAATAGTGTGGGATATGATGACAAGTTTAAAACCTTACATAAGAGTTTGGGGAGGAAGAGGTTCATAAAGGAAGATTTATTTGTTGAATAAACTGACAGTACGTGTAATAGAAATGATTCAACACGTGTCCCGGAAATTTGGAAATTTCTACTACCCCTATGCAAATGAAAAGGAATAAAGAAATCTATAAAACTCAAGTTTCGAAGTTGTTTAGTTACAGTTAATATGAATATGAACAATGCATTGTGTTCAAAACTCTGTCATCCAGTAAATTATACCGTTTAACCGTGTTGTTATTACTTACTTACTTTACTTCGGCTATCTCCTACGGGAGGATGAGCCGGCTTTATGAACATCTCGAATCATCGCTGCCCAGGCGCAGCGATCTGATGCAAGGTTTTGCGACAGGGTTATCCAATTCTTGTTCCACAGACGGAGTCCGTAGACGGTTTGTAGCTCCAGGCACTCCATATCAGCCTTGACTGTACCAAGCCATGTTTTCAGCTGTCCACCCCTGCGACATCGTCAAGATGGAAATGGCGAGGGATTTAGAACTGATTTGACCAGATCGTCATCTGGTCGGCATAGAACATGGCCAAACCACCAAAGATGACGTTGTTGGACCAGTACTGGAATTTGGTTGATGTTGTAGAGAGTTCATGAAGTTTCATGGGAATTAGGTACGAGTGATGTCCCCAGAATCGCTCGGCCTTTTGTTTGAGAGTGCAGCTCTACCCTTTATCCAACCAAATGTGACCTACAAGGCAGTAGGAGTGGAGTAGGGAGTCCACTATCCATTGGCAGCCGTTGACCGGAGTCCGGTTCATGCGCCTTTTTGAATGGGGCCAGACATCCAGGGCATCCAACAAGCCCTTTGTCCATACGTCTGCCGGTGAGCTTCATACGCCAGTTGTTGGAGATTTGGAATCAGGGTTTAGCCATCTCCCCTAGACTGTCATCCGATGGACAGTCAACCCGGTGAGGAGCGCCGGGCATCCGCTTCTGCCCTCTCACTTCAGTGAAAAACACCTCCGCCACGTGAAGGCGGTGATTAGGACTTCCTCAGGAGAGGCTATGTAAGACGCCCGGTCATATGGGAGCATTTCAAGAGGTATACGGAGGGGTGGGTAACCCGCAGCGCTAGGCACCCACCCCCGACCATCCTGAGGCTTTAGAGGCCGTGTTGTTATTGGATAAGGTGAAGTGGCTAGCCTCATGCTCAACCTCCTCGCCCTCCTGGGTAAATTCCAATTAGGCGAGGTTTAGGAGCCTACATATATAAAGTGATAGAGGGACTTCGACTTGAGTATAATAACACTGACTCTTTCGTCCGTGTTACTTTCCGCTACACTGAGCCATGCAAAAATATCATAAGACAAGACCAGCCTGTGATTGTTAGAATACAATTTTATGGGCGGAAAAGGCACATCATATTTACATAATTTTAAATATAATAAAAACAGTCTAAGCCACTGGAAAATAGATTGTTCTGATTTTTAGGCGATTCGTTTAGGTTCACAAGAAATAAATATCGTGTTTGGTTGACGATTGATCTTAAGATCAAGGTAAGAAAAGGATGATGAAATCCTACAGCCACTCAAGGTCATCCGGTCAGAAAATGAATCAAAAAAATGATTGCTAACTACTTTAAGCAGATTTTTATCACCTTTAACTTACCTAGGCAGTATCGTTTCAACTAGAGACAGCATAGATAAGAATGTTAAAGTCAACCATAATCGGGAAAATCAGACAAACTTTCCATTACTGCATACACTCTACTAATTTCAATAAATGAAATACTCCCATAGTAAAATTTAGAACAACACATTTAAGCGAACAATACTGTTTTCAATTAGATCTCATCAGGCTTAACTCTATTATTATTTTTTTTATTATTGCTCCCTTGGGTTCCTAGTGGAACATAGGGCTTCAACTGCACGTCTCCACTTGCTTCTGTCTTCCTTCTGCTGTACTTTTCACCTGCATCCATGTTAGTCCATACTCTTTCAACTCCCCTCTCTTCACACGATCTCCTCCATGTCACCCTTGGATGTCCCACACGCCGCCTCCCTTTCGGATTCCAGTCGAGGGCTTGACGCGCGATGTCACCCAGCGGTCTCCTCAGCGAGTGTTCGATCCATCTCAATCCACTTTCTCCTGCATATTTGTTGGGCGATTGGTTCTTGTTTTGTTTGTTTGTTCCCATAGTTCCTTACTGGTGATTCTTTCCGGCCCGGCCATCTGATCTTCAGTATAGAGCCAGCGAAGACAGTTGTTAATAAAGGTCTGCAACAGGGTGTTGGAAATATTCTTTGTGACTCGCCCGCCAAGTTTCTGATCCGTATAGAAGAATTGACTGACTTAACGTTTGTATTAAAGATCCGAATTTTGTTGTTGATGCTGAGTGACGAAGATTAGTTTTCCAGATTGGTTTCAGGTTGATGAATGTATTTCTCGCCTTCCCCATTCTCACTCGATTTGACATCCTCGTATAAAAATTCAAATATAAACCTATCATGGTGTTTTGTCTATAGGATAATTAGATGGTAAATATAAACTGTGCAATTAGTCATAATAGTAATAATGATAATAGTAATAATATTAATAGTAATGGTCTTATCAATAATAAGCATGACTTTATTTCTAAAATATCCGAGACTAATGTGAGGTATAAACGCAGGTTATCCATGGTTGTATCATCACTATTCACTAATGTACCGCTTATGGAAACAATAGATTATATTTGTCAAGAAATCACTGAAAGGCAATTAGACTTAGGAATTCCCTTGTGTAGCCTCAAAGAATTACTTCTTAAATGCACAATGAATGTTCACTTCGTCTTCAATAATTCATACTACCGACATGTAGATGGAATAGCTATGGGTTCACCATTAGGTCTAATATTAGCTGACTTCTTCCTCGCAAAAAAAGGTTATTATCAAGGAGTTTGATATGTATTACCGATATGTCGATCATACATTTATCTTAGCTGACAGGAATGTTGACATAGACGAATTGTTTCTGAAATTCAACAACATCCACCCTTCGGTTACCTTTACTTGTGAAGAGGAGCAGGAGAATAAACTACATTTTCTGGATGTCTTGCTAAGAAGGAGAGAAGATGGGTTACTTGGGAGAAGTGGGTATAGAAAAAGCACATTCACAGGGCAATACACACACACACTTCCTTGGCTACGTGCCCATTAAATATAAAAGGAATGTTGTTAAATGTCTTGCGAGCAGAGCAAGAAAGATATGTACAAATGACCTCTTACAAAAGAAATTTGAATATATTCACGTTTCCTTGACGGAGATGGGCTGGCTATCCGAGTAGTTTCATAAAGAAACATATGAAAACATCAGGGAAAAAATCTGAAACTCTGACTGCACGTAAAAAGCCTCTCTTTATTAAGTTACAACTTAATGGTGACTTATCAAGTGAGATTCTATTCCAAAGACTTTCAAGGAGTATACGAAGAACGTTTCAGGCAGCACACTTATGTTTATCATTCCCTAGCCGACGAATTATTGGGACGCAAATGAAGGATAAGCTAGATAGTTTTGCCACATCTATGTGCATTTATCGATTCAACTGCACCTGGGGCTACAGTTATGTTAGGCGTGCTACTAGACAGATAGGCAACGTGTTAGTGAACATCTCCCATCGTGGTTTGGCAAAGGACAGACAAAAATAATCCGTAGCTCAATTTTGTCACATTTAATTGATAGTGGTCATGTAGTGGATAAAACGAAAGCCTTCAAAGTAATTCATTGTATCCCACCGAATCTTTCTAGTAGACTTCGTATCCGTCTACTGCACACAGCTGAGGCAGGCGGTAGGCATTTGAACAATTGAAACTAAACTATGCATTCAAAAGAAATTCGTACAGCCATTATCCCTCCCTTGTTGGCCAATTAAGACATAACCGACTAATGACTTCTTCACCACCACCCCTTGTTTATATGTTCAATCCCTTTCTTATCATCCCTTGATCTTAACACATCTCCATTAAAAACGTGTTTCATTTCCTTCCCTTACAACCTAACATTACTTAATCGGTTCATTTGTTTTTACTAGCCTTTGTCGACTACTTCCACATGAAAAATTGTTTGTTTAATCATGCTGTTTTGCATTATTCGTGTTATCACAGATTGCCTCACTTTTTCATTCTTATTATTGATAAGACCACTACTATTATTATTATTATCATTACTACTATTATAACTAATTGCACAATTTATATTTACCATCGTATTATCCTATAGACAAAACACCATGATTGGTTTATACTGGAATTTTTTTTGTAAACTTGTGTATATTAGAGTTAAGCCTGATGAGATCTAATTGAAAACAATATTATTCTCCTAAATGTATATTCTAATTTCAAGAAAGCAAAATTAATGACCTGTAAAGAATAAGAAAGTAACATTGTTTATTTTGTCGTCTTGTCATCAACTGTGGATAGCCCTAAGGCATTAATTGTTTTATTCATTACCCTGACATAAGTGTGAAACTGTAGTTCACTCCTACCAGGGGGAGAAGATCTAAATACTGTATCACTGTTTCTGTATGGTTCGGATCTGACAGAAAAACCACTTCTGAAGGGCTACAAACGTTTTCATCGACAGTTGTATATTGAACTGTCTATGAACTCTTCTTAGGCGAATCTTGTGAGTAGAGCGTCCAAAACAGGTAATTTTACTTTAAGAATCCTTCTTCATACACCTAAGTTACATAGCTGAATGTAATTCACTGAAGTAGGATAGTATTGCTTAATTGTTCGAATCATTTTCACAAACAATGAAGGCAGTAGCCATCTGTATATATATATATATATATATATATATACATATATATATGGGTAATAGAATGAGAATTTTCTGATAAGACTGTTTAAAAGATCAGTACATACCGGTAAGTTGCTGCCGTTGCTCCTTATATTTTCTATGCAACGCTGGTGATTCCACAACTGAAAGATTAAGTATCTCAGGTTATCCAGCCACCTCTTCCTGAAATCCCCAGTTCAGATGCTCTTCTTGGGCCATTAATAATGTCCGCTATCATGGGTACCTAAATTTCCGTGCTTAGGAAATCTTACCGATGTGGCTAAGTATTGGTGTAGTGAAAAATATCAGTTGTTAGCTAATAAACCACCTTGTCCAGACGGGCTATAAAGCCAGCATCTATTGGCTACCAAACAGATTATCGAAGCCTGTAGTTATCGAATATATACCAAACAGAAGAGGTTACTGCAAATCGCCGAATACAGCTGGAGTCATGCTTGAGAAAGAAACATTTCCAGTCAATATTTCTACCCCGGCTTACTGTTCGACCTGTCATATCATAAATGCTGTCTTATTTTTCGTAATCTATCTGATATTCAGTCTATTATTATTATTATTCCCTTGAGTTTTTAGTTGAGTATACGCCTTCAACAACTCATCTCCACTTTGTTCTATTTTCTGCCATCTTCACTTGGGTCCACTATTGCCCATAATCTCTCATCTCCTCCTCCTCCTCCTGCTCCTCACACAATCTCCTGCATGTCACTCTTGCTTGCACTGACGACCCACTCGTTGCTTCCCATTCCTATTTCACTCGAGCGACGGTCTGTAATGAGGGCGATGTCATTCGATCGTTTCCTCAATATATGCCTGGTTACTCAATCTCCATTTTCTTTTGCTGTTGAGCGATCGGCTATCGTCTGTTGGTTTGTTGACAGCCATAGTTTCATGTCGCCGGCCGGCCGGCCGGCCATCTAATCTTGACTATGGAGCCAACGAAGGCGGCAGCTGTTGATAAAAGTCTGTTGTGACTTTCTGGAAATCCTTTATGTGACGCACTTGCAGCGCAATTTTTTGAGCCGTATAAAAGGACTGACTTAACATTTGTTTTAAAAATGCGAATCTCGTTGTTTATGCTGACCGAATGAGTGAGTGAGTCACAGCAAAAGATTCCCAAACTGGTTTCAGGTTGATGAAGGTGTATCTTGCCTTTCCGATTCTGACTTTCGCCCCTGTTATTGAAGCGATGCATAATATGTCTTCCTAATGCTTTTGGACTGTAATCTACTGATCTTGTCGATTTAATGTTGTTTAAAAAAAAAACATTATTGTTACAAATAACAACAATTCTTTAATTATTATCGACACATATCTGTAGACGCTGGCGAAGAAGTTATCGAAGGGAATATTCTTCTTTCACTAATCAGTCTCTTAGAGTTGTTAATGGGAATCTTTAATCCATGGATTATTTTCTACTAGTAATTTTGGACCTATCTAGTCGAACCACGCATGTTCTTCTGGGTTCGACTCCCAGCCGGCATACTTCTAAACCTCACTTAACTAGTATTAGACCCAGTAGAGAACGCAACTTAGGGGTGACGGTGACAACCCGTCCCGTAAAATAAAACACTCCTGTTGGGACTTCCACGAGGATCGTAAAGGAATGAAACGAACCCATCAAACTGACTTTGGAATGTAAGGCTCTTGAACGGATACCTACATACTGGCTTAACCTCTGACTTGATTATTACTTGTTTGATGACGGCCAATCAGTGGGGCCTTTGACCTAAGTTTCTCTACTATTCAAAGTATATTGAGTGGATGTACCTGTATTCTGGAGAATGGTTATGTTTCCACCAAGGCCGGAACCCGGAACAATAAATCCTCTAGACTGCTGAGTAATGGGATACCCTTTGCGTATTATATGTTGTAATTTCATGCTTCAGCCTCAGTGGGAATGCATAACTTTTATCGGAATTCAGGCTTGCCTAGCTGTCAAATCTTAAATGGGACATAATGGACTTCCTAAATTCCATTACAGGTTGATACCAACAAAAGAATCTACTGTGTTGTATTACTGTCTCCTTGATTCCGAGTGTAGCGTCGGATTTCACCTGCACACACTTATTTCACTTGGTTCCTTGTAGCTGGCACATGGATACACCAAAAACAGACAGGTTTAATTTCAGTTTCAAGAAAATAAAATTCGCTGTCTGCTGGACACAAAATCTAGAAGAGGAGCAGATGTGGGTTCAGACGATTATCTAGTGCAAGAAGCCTCTAAGGTCACTTTGAATGGCTTCATAGAAACTGAAGATAGACTAGAGAAACTGAGAGACGAAATCACAATGAACACCTTCACTCTGACTATGAGAGTAAAGCTACCGAGAAAAATACAATATGTACTGGTGACTTATATTAGTAGTTGAGAATTTTTGAAACCAATTAGGTAATGGTTATTCAAGTATTGGTTTGTAGGGATTCGATTGACTGGTTACAGGGTTTCACCATGAGCTGACATAGGTCAGAGAACCACTTAAAAACTACCAGGGAGTACGTGACAACTCGTCAGCAGTACACATCCATCGCCAGAGCTCGAACCGAGGACCTTATAGGTAAATTTAGGTACAGCACGTTTGGCACCAGGACAAATACTCGCCGGAGACACTGGCTAGTGGTCGCACTATGTCGTGAATCGGCAAAAGTTGTAATTCATGCTCTGGTCGTTGGATTAGGCCCCAGTGGCCTAATGGTCTACGAGCACACCTTGTAACCAGAAGGTACTTGGTTCGAACCCTGGTGGCGAGTGCGTACTGATTAATAGTCCTAAGACTAGGTAATGCTTATTTAATCAGGTCGTTGTGATCTAAACACTGACTAACTTCTTTTCTCATATCTAATGGAACTTGTGACTGACCCACTCGGAAAGAGTTAACCCAAAATTAGTAAATGTTTTCCAAACCAGATTAGTTATTGACTAGTGATCTGCATTACCGTATGCCACCAGTAATCTTCTCCACTTACTATTTTTGCGTCTTTTATTTCCCAATGTAGATCTCAATTTAGCGGTTTTTCCTCCGATGAAATTGCAGTTTTAAAAGAGAAATTACTTCCTGTGTCTATGACTCCAGATAAAGTCAGTGATGCGCTTGGTATGATTTACACGATTGTCCGAAATCCTGAATTGATTACAACTTTTGATATGAATCATTCCGATGATTTTGATTTAGCTATTCTATCAGCATTGATTAAAGTCTCACCATATGTTGAAAAGCAGTTACAATTGGCATTCACTTGGGGAAGAAGTGATATTGCCCAGGAGAAAATATTTCGTAAAGGTCGACCAATTCGACTTGGTGAGTTCCCCCTTGTGTGAATTTATCTCTTTTTTCCAGGTTGTGTAAGGTAATTAGCCGACAGGAGCTTCTCTGTGTCATCAATGCGCATGAAGTCTGCTCAAGACTGTTTCTTGGCAATTAGTTCGTTTTATGAAGACGTAATCTATCTAAAAGTGTCATATGCTTGCGTAACATCTTTTGGAGACTCTGATTATACACTTGTCAAATGAAAGGCTTCAGTGTTTTCCCAACAAGGATGTTTATCATAACTACATCATTTTTCTAGCTGTTGGTTAATAATAACTCAACATCCTTAAAATCTCCTTTATCACCACATCAGGACATTAAATGACTGCCTGTCTGACTGATTTCAACGTAAAACTTTGCGCCAATGTGCAGAAGTTCGAGTCGCCACACTCCATGCAGCACTCAAAGACAGGGCAGAAAATGAAAAGAAATGCAAAACCGAAACAGTAAACAGAGATATGAAGCAAAGGAGAGTAAAACCGACGAACCGTATAGTTTTTATTGCCTATTATAAATTACAAGGAGTAGATGCAACTGCGCCAACTATTGAGAGCGATTTTGAGCCATATCACAAATTTTCCCCAGCTATCATTGGTTTTTACCATTCGGATGACCCCAATCAAGAAGTCTACATCTTCCTAAGTGGCTTAAACTAATTATTATGTGTTTCACTGACTGATGAAACCATGTTTTGGTTTGATCACTCCTGGCTATTTTCCAACCTGATCCTATGTCAGTCAGCTAACATTGCCCGCTGAATAAAATTCTGTTAGAGTAGTATCCATCATCTAAAGTAAAGATGCAATTGCCTTCCAAACAGTTTTCTGCATCTTAATCAGCTTACGCGTGAAGAATACCATGCAGCTGCAAATAGCGGTAATGGTCACCGACTTTGGAGAACTGTCATCTTTCTGATGCAGTAAAACAAATCTCTTTGACTATGGCTAATATTAATCTGTATTGTGTACAATGCACTTCTAATGGTACCCTACGGTTACACTGCTGAGGAGGTGATGCACTTATACGATTCACCGTAAACTAGCATGACATCTGATTATAAATCAAGAATAAGATTCAACGCCGTACACAGCAAAGTTATTGAGGAGAATTGACTTCAAGCTTCATCTTTTCTAAGGTATTGGTGATTCATCCGACATAGACTTGAGTTTATTATGTTAATGCGTAGATAATATTCTCGTATCTCCAGTAAGCAGATTATTCCCACAAGCTAAAGTCAAATAAGGACAGCAACCATGTAAATTCACTATAAACCAAATTTATGTAATTTGAATCTATATGCACCCATTAGAAGTTAGTCGGTGGATGGTGACTAGCAGTAGAATCCCGGACGCGCTTTTCGTCCTATTTGGGACTCGTCAGCTAGTTATACCTGCATTCGGCAGTGACGGATGACATTCCAGTGCCAAAGCATTATCCACGCGAACACTTCGGCCACGGGAGCCCCCTCCTGTGTAACAGGTCACATTAATTATTTAATTCAATTTTAGATATTCCGTCAATTGATTGGACCAAAGTGCTAGGCCTCAGGTTGATATGTCGACTTCTTCAACCTGAGACCGAACACTTCGGTCCAGTCAGTCGACAGGAAAATCTAGAATTGAATTAAATATGCACTCATTTTTGTATAACTGGTGTGTTCCTGCGTAGACAGGAATGAATGTATTAATTCTAGCTTTACTACTGAACGGTAATTTCCAAAGTTTGATTACTAAACGAATATTCAAAGTTTCACTCGACAGATCTTATGTTGTCCTGTAAGCTGACACAACATTTGAACGACAGTTTGCAATCCCACTTTGTCAGCCGATTCACATTTATTCGTGCTCACGCATTTGCATAGGGAGAAGCCACTGTCGTAGTTGTGTGTTCTGAGATGGTTGTTTTTTATTGCGAAAGTTCCATTTTACCCCTCTGAACAACATCACTAGATACTTCAATTGAAAGTGAACTTTTAGAATTCTTCACGAGTTTATCAACCTTTTTTCCTGGTAAATTTAATTGCGATTGGCTGTTTTTCTGAATATTGCTTACCCTCTAGTATAGACACGAATATCACTCACCGCTCAAAGGGTTCCCTTTACACATAATAATGTTTGCTTTCTTTTCGTTACCTGTAATTTTGACCCTTAATGAACATTTCAGTCTTGACATTTTGTGTAAATATGTTTGAGAAGTACTTATATGACCAGATTGTCCGAAATCTGTTGAGAGGAATGCATCACACTTTTCAGATAATTTGTTTTATTTTAACATTGTAAACAAGTTGCAGATGTGGTGTTTAGACCCATTTCAACTGAAATTGCTTCTCTTACGTCCTAACCTGTGAATGTCGTTAATCTATTATTCAACAATCGGAACATGAATAAATTCACTGGAAGTATTACAGCCCTGGGTGAAAAAAAAAATTGGTTGTCTTTTGTTTGAAAGGTAATATAGTAAACTACACCCACTGTGGTTCGAACCCAGGATACTCCTGTTACAAGTCAAGCTTGTAGACCATTCAGCCATTAGGACCGGACTCAATGTCCAGCTCATGAATTCTTAACTTCTACTGATTGGTGATGTTAGAGTGACTGGCACCAGTCAACTTCATCGATGAGTATTTGTTTTGACCTCCGACGGAATGTACCCCATTTTCAACGACTTCTCACTAGAACTCTAGGTAACTTCACCTTGTAGCCAGTGGGTATATGCCCTCTGAAGAGTTTCGAACAAGGACGAAACAGCTGTCCAGTAGTCCCTGGTGGTTTTCCATGATTCTTTCACTGATATCAATCCATAGTGAAACTTGAAACAATATCAATGATTAACTACATAATTATGACGATTCTTTATTTTCGTATTCTGTTAACACACAGTTGAGTCGGTGGCACAGCGGTATAGTTCTCGCCAACCAGGCCTCATGTAGCTCGGGGCTCGATCCCCGGCCGACTCACGTTTTTACCTCTCTAAGCCAGTAATAATATTGTTAAAGAAGGAAGGTTGGGTATGAGGCTAGCAGCAACCCCATCTCGTAAAAATTGACATCACAGCTACTGAAGCTTCAAGACCCTAGCTTAAATCCCTATTTTCCACTAGGAACGTAGAGTAGTAAAAATTAGAAAAAACGTAGCAGTAAGTAGAACAATTCTCATTCTTGAGTAAATTGAACTTTGCCTTATCGACATGTCATATTTAAGACAGTTGAAAACCAAGGAGCAACGGACGGCTGTTTCTTTCTTGTGTACATCGATGACATCAGGGATTTGAACCCGGGACTTTCAATTAGAAATTCAAATTCTTACACAAACGCAGAATGTAAATATCAATATCCAGTCCTTTGATGGCTGCCGCATGACTGTTCTGAATCTGTACTGACAAGTCCTTACTAGTGGAGTTCATCAGTATCAAGCCACGGTAGATGCTGATTGAAGCCACTAGTTAAGGGTGATGCTACACCAAAATCTCGAGTACAAACCGTAAAATGGTCAATGAGTTTATTCGCGTAACTTGCAAGTTCCGGTTTAAATCCCTAGTGAATTCGCGTATGTACACTGATGAAGACTCCGAAAATAGGACAAAACAGCTTTCTAGAGCATTTTGGCTCTCAGTGATTCTCTAAATGATGTCGGTTAGTTATAGTATGTACAGTGAAGTTAGTCCCAATTCCCTACAAATCTTATCGTTTAAATATATATCAAAAGTTTTTTCCAGATTCCATCTACTCTTGTATCTCCTTAATGACTTGTCACCTTGAAATCACAATTTTTAACTGCCAGGTATGTACCAGCCAGGAGTATAAAGTGCTGTAATCATGTGAAGCTGCTTTAAAGTTATTTTACGTGGGAAATCATTATTACAGATAAATGCATGAAACAACCTGCTCTACTGGAAGGTAGCAGTCAGCTAGCAAAAGACTCTGTTGTGAATGCTGGTCGTAGACTTCCTTTTTTTCAATCAGCTATGTATATCTACTGACCATCTGAACTTCTTACAGTAACTTTCTTGATCTCAGTGAAAATGAAAGTCGCTTTTGCGTAACATTCTTCACATTCGTTGGCTGTATTAGCGCCAACTGGCTGACTTGATGTTTCGTTTATTCATGCAGTCTGCTTATTCCGACTGAAGACTTCATATTTTTGCCGGAAATCGGCAACATGCCGATGAAGTGACAGTCACTAGATACGCTGACAGGTGACATGGTCTGTCTTGTGCCGACCAGCATGATCAAGTCGGTGATTTACTTGACTAACAAGCTGCTGTACTTTCACTTTTTGGTCTTAACGACAAGCAGGATGAATTCGGTCCTACTGCGTGGAGAACATTGTTTGTTAGGCTAAGTAGACAGCACATTTTACAGATTAATCGTGTAGCTGAAGGTAGATCTCGTAATTCTTTGAATATCCGTCTACTGTTCCCGTGAAGTTGTCGTAGGTGGACGGGTTGTATGTCTGCATCAGCCACTGGTAGACGACAGACAGCCAACAGATGTCTGGTGCTGTACTGATGACAGCATTTACTGCCGAGTCAGAGTTAGGCGGCAGACGGGAGAGAATGTTTGCATTGGCATGTTGTGCTGTCCTTAGAGATATATTTTCACAAGGGAATTTGAACCCCCTATAGACAGATGTTCTTGTCAGCGGGTAATTTGACCTTGTGTATCATGGAAATTCTACAGCCATTGCAACGCTCTATAATCTATTCGGACCTGATATTTGCTTCCTAATAAATAAATAAATAATGTAATTCCCTATTGATTTATTGATTTATTTTTGTTTTTTCTACAGAAACTCTCGAATATTTTATGCTCAAAGCATTGAAAGGCGATAAACTTGAGTTTGTGAAAATTCTTCTACACAATGGTGTAACTATGAAATCATTTCTAACTGTTGCACGACTTCAAGAATTGTACAATGATTCAGATCGTCGTGAAGGATTTGTTAAATGTCTAAAACATCATAATCTTTTCCCGTCAATGAAGACTAGTTTCACTCACGAAGTGATGATCATAAAAGACGGTGATAGTAATAATAATGACAAAAATAATAATCATAATAGTAATACTAATAACAATATAAATGTCAGGAAAGGATCTGATCAAATCACTACTGGATTACTGCCTGTTGATGATTACGACAGTAAAGGTCTAATAAGTATGAGTCCATCACAAAAAAATCGAATACGACTACCAATCATAAATAAGCTGTTAAAGCGTATGCTGGGAAATTTTCACAACACTTCGTACGATTTTAACAATGAAGTATGAAATGTACAGTGTGATATTGTATTATTATTATTATTGTCATTAATATCATTACTGACGTTTTACGTTTAAAGAAATTTATATTTTTTGATAACTATGCTTGTATATTGGCACACTGCTAGTTTATAGGGATATTCGGTAAGGCTGAAAGATTGGTGTTTACTGTCAGTATAGGATTGTAGAGATGAAGTCGATTGATATGGCGAGGACACGTGTTTTGAGCTGGCTGGCTGACCCATCGCTTTCGTCGACGAGTAATGTCAGCCAACACAGGAGTAAGTTGAAAAATAGTCAGGAAGTCGTCGAAATAAAATTTGGCCTTTGTAAGAGTTGGCATGGCATCAGGCTTTTGTCGATGCCGAGCAAAACACTAAGTATCGTCATCATGCAGAGACTAAAGGATGCCCGGAATGTAGAACTCCGATTAGCCAGAGCGAGCTAGTTTTAGGGAAAGCAAATCATGTGTGGATGAAACTGCAAATCTACGAATCATCAGCGAATATAATGGCATATAGTGGCAGTTGAACCTCTATCCCAGCATCGCTGACTTTGAAAAGGCTTTGACTGTGTTGACCTTGAAGTGATCTGGAAACTACTTCGGCACTACAAATCACCTCAAAACCTTATCAGTCTGACTCAACAGCAGTATGACAATGCCACGTGTCAGGTGATCCACAATAGAAGACTCAGCGAAGCCTTAAAAGGGAAGACTATGGCCGATGATATACCCCAAATATGTTGGACTGGATTGTGCGGAAGACTGTGTGTGTGTGGAGAGAGAATACCTTCGACTGATAAGAAGACTCTAGAAGATCTGAATTTCGCGAATGATTTATGTTTTATGTCAAAGAGACTTGAAGATCTGCAGACAAATACCAAAAGACTGGCAAAACAAAAGCAGCGAAGACACGACACCACTGGTGATAAATAAAGATTGCCGACCAACAACATCAACAAGCGCCAATCACACTATCAACAGGAGAAATTCGAAAAAGGCTACTTCTTTCACTTATCTAGGCAGCACCATTTCAACTACACGAAGATCTCAAAACCGGAATCGGAAAGGTAAGAGAGACCTTCATCAATCTAAAATCAGTTTGAAACAATATTCGGAATTTAAAAACCAGTGTTAAGCCAATCCTTTGATATGATTAAGTGATTTGACTTTTGAGTCACTAAAAGCGTTTCTAATAGGCTCCAGGCCAGTGATCGAACCCAGAACCTTTTGGCAACAAGGCGAGTTGTAACGTCTGATATTTCGCGACTGACGTGCACTTGTTCTCACAGGTGACCGGATAAACTCCACTGGTCACAATTTCTCAGCAGACCTCCTGGTAGTTTTATCTTGTAGTCCGTCATTAGTCAGCATGATGACAGTGGATAGTGGCGACGCTAAAATCTCGAATTAACAGGAGTTTAAACTCATTGGAATCCGTATCAGCAATTGTATTGTTGCCTGATAGTCTTGGGTTCGATTCCTTGTGGAATCAAGGATATGTAGTACTGAGGAATCCCAAACAAGAGCGAAACGAATATCCAGCACTTCGTGCTGGTTTTCATTGGTTCGCTAGCTGCAATCACCTCGTCATCAATCTTCAAATATTGCCAATACCATCCTCTGTATATAAAATTGTTTTAGAATGCTGTGAATATTAAAATGTTTTACAGAATTTAATTTGAGATTTTCGCGTCGATTGATTGGACCGAAATGCTCGGTCTCAGATTGACATGTCGACGTCTTGTGCAGATGCTTCGACGATGTCTGGGCATTTAATTCGAATTTAACTGGTGGATGGTGACTAGCGGTGGAATCCAGGAGAACGAGCATTTCGTCCTATTTGGGACAAAGCATCTGCACAAGAAGCCGACATGTCAACCTGAGACCGAACACTTCGGTTCAATCCATCGACGTAGAAAATCTCAATTTCAATTAAATTAATATGACCCGTTGCAGAAGAGGTGGCTCTCGTGGCCCAAGTGGTCTAGAGGATAACGCTTCGGTGTTTGAAACTACACGCACTGGGTTCGAGCCTCGGTGGGAACATCATCATTCACTAGGAAATGCTAGTACATCCATATGACGAGTCCCAAATAGGACAAAATGCACATCCTGGATGTATATGTATATAAATGCATATATATCTTTTCTTTTTCTATCCTTATTTGATACAGAAACTGGAGTCGGAACCAGGTGCAGAGATTTTTCACCAGCTGTTCACTTCGCCATTTGAAGTAAGTTTAACAGTTTTTCTGCTTGTCAAAGCTCTTCGTTTTTACCAACCAATTTCTCAGGTTTTCTGTTTTGTTTCTATAATAAGCGATAGGTTGAGCTCATGATATCTTCATTAATGTAAAAGTTTTTGTATTACCCAGTGGATGACAAACACAACGATATTGATTTTAGCAACTGTTTTTTACTAATATAATCCTGCTGATAGAATTATTAAAGAAGAGTAAACCCAGTATTTTCAAAAACTCAGGGTGCATACAGAGACTTGAACATCGTTCGCAATCTTTGATAACGGATGCAAAGGAAAAAGAAGACGAATAAGTCTAAAACATTACGGAAATTCTCAAGAAAAAATTACCCTTCAGGCAACACTCCATTACACCAAGAGTAGACATTGTCGAAAAGGTATTTTGACGAAACGCACAACAACAGTTGTCATTTCATATAGATCACAAATATCAGACGATATCAGTAGGGTACTCAATAAACGTCAGAGTCTTCTTCAAAATATCAGATACACACTACAAAGCAACGTTGTCCACATAAAGCAGCAAACGCCAAAGGATTCACAATCTCATTGTATCTATAAACTCTAAAATGCTTACTTGAAATGTGATGCAATAAACATTGGACAAATCTCTGCAGAAAGAAATCAAGATCATCCGAAGAAATGAATACTGTAAAGCAGCCTCAACTCGACCACCGAGAAATCCAGTGAAACTGGAAAAGCATCAAAAATCACAAACCGTAGGATAGGGCCAAAAAACTGATTTGACAATACTGAAATCGTTCAGACGAACATTTCACAACTCACAGAAGGAACGTGTTATATCATCAGAAGCATTTCATATCAAATGGAATTCAAACTGTCTGAATAACAACGATGAAATAAAACACAATCTGATCTCCTTTCAACACACACGCATCTCTGCACACGATGTGATACAGTCAAGTATTGGTTTGTAGGGATTTTGTTTGATTGGATGCAGGATTTCATCATGAGCTGACATCATTTAGAGAATTTATGGGGAATCGTGGAGTACTGGAAAGCTGCTTTGTCCTAGTCTACGAGCTTGCCTTTTAACCAGAAGGTACTGTAAGTGAACCCCTCTGGATGCGTACTGATAAAGAGTCCCAGACTTAGGTTTTTTCGATGATTTTCTGACTGATATCAGCTCATGATGAAATCCTTCAACAAATGTGATGAGCAATTTCATCATGCAAACATATTCTGTCTTTCTTATTGCTTACACTTATCAAATCTAACAATCTACACTCGTTTTTGTTTTCTTTACTAGTGACAACATAAAACAATCTAACTCATTCTGAAGAACGATGATTAAGTTGCTGTATGTAATAATTAGCTGAGATTTTGTAAATGCCGATTTAATATCACTTCTTTGATAGAGCTATTAGCACCATTGAATAGCGAAACGTCAGTAAAAAACAACAATGTCGTTCATTGGGTATTACATGAACTTTTATAACAATGAATGTCATAACTGAATGCCTAAATTATTTCAAACTATTAAAATTAAACTAGGTTTAGACACATGTATGCCTTGTTGCATGTTAATCGGTATTCCCTTAGATTTCGATTGGAACATCAGGTAGGCCTCCACAGTACATACAGATTTCATCCTCTTCTCTTCAGTCTGTTTTTATGTGCTCACGATCTCCCATAAGCTTTTATCTTCCCTATTGCTCCACCCGTGGGCCAAACGCCCAAAGTTTTTATGTTTCCTATTCGGATCTCACTCGAGTGTGTGTGTGTGTGTCTGGCGTGTGGCTGGCACTCAATAGTCTCCTCAGTGTGTGTGTGTGTGTTCGTCTGTCGAATCCATCTCCATTTGTCTTGGCATATTTATTGGGCTATGAGTTATTAGTTGGTCGATTGGTTTCCAGAATGTTCCCTGTTGCCTATCCTTTCTGGGTGACCATCGAATGTTCAGTATACACAACCATACGCAGCTTTTGATAAATAACTTTCCAGCGATCTGTTAAAAATTCTTTTACCATGACTCACTAACTCTTTGAATCATACTGAAGAAATGGTTTGACATTAATATTGAAGATGTTTTTTAGGTTAGAGATAATGTTTTAAGGAAAAGACGTAAACAGCGAAGAAAAACATTTTTATTTCAACGAATCATTCTCATAAGCTGCTGTACAATCGTAGCTATAATTAAGAAGGAATTCAATAAACCAGTCAGATACTAGTGAAATTCATCCTCGAAAATGTATTGCGTAATATACGGTGTAATCTAGAAGGTGTAACTAATTAGTAATGAGAAAAGGGAGCAGAAGTTGACATTATGTAATAAGTATGATAAAATGACTCATCAGTGTAATTGTTTAGAGTGGACAAGAACTAATGGAAAGACAATAAAGTGTTTTTAAAAAATCTGTATGAAAATGCTATCATGATGTCATCAGTGGCAGCCAAAGCCCTAATTTAGTGGGAACCAATTTTATCCTGTAGGATCATGACAGCAACATTTAAATCCAAAGGAAGGAAGGTAACAACTATCCAATGCAACGCACCTACAGACAATGCGGAACAGAATAAGAAGGAAGATTTTTACAGACAACTACAAACTGTAATCGACAACATCCTAAATGGTTGCATCAAACTCCTTGAGGGCGGTTTGAATGCCAGGCAAACTGGGAGCAGACAATACAGGAAGAGAATATATCATGAGTCGAGAGGCTCTCACCTTGAGAAATGAATGAGAACGGAGTATTATTCAATGATTTGGTGATCGAAGGGAGCGTGTACAAACTCAAGGATATACACAAAGCAACATGGATTTCGCCTTACGGACATACCACAAACCAGATAGATTTCATCTCGAACTCAGGGACGTGGAGACGCAGTCTGATGGATACGAAGTCGCGAAGGAAAGTAGAGGTTACCTGAGACCATCATTTGATTCAAGGAATATTTGAAGTCAAGCTGAAATTCCTGTAAACAACTGGAGACAGGCCACTGTGGTTCAAGTTCTACATCCAGAAACTAAAGGACAAAACTGCATGGATGCCTACCTTCGCTGCAGGTCAGATTACAGCAAAGTCGGGAACATTGAAACTCTCTGATGGTGACATTCAAGGAAACGTGAACAAAAGATCTAGGGAGAAAGAAGAGGCAAGACAAGAAACAACTCTCAATGGATACCTAGAAGCTAATAGAAGAGAGGAGGATATTGAAAAAGAAGATGGCTTTAATGCAATTATGCACAACAGAAGGAGATGCTGAGTTCAGTGTACACTGCACTGAATAAAGAAGTGAAGAACATTGCTAGAAAAGGCAAACGATGATTTTACGACACACTGGCCGGCGACTGAAACAGAACAGGCTGGCCGCAGGCAAAAGATACATCAGGACACTATATCAGATAACCAAATCTCTATCCGGGAAGAGATCAACCCAGATGATGAAACTAATAAAAGATGCTCAAGGAAACCTGATCACCAAGGAGGAGGAACAAATTAAACAATGGACTGATCACTTTGAAGAACTCTTGCATCGACTACCACCAGCAACTCACCCAGTAATACCGACAACAGCATGCACAGAACTGCTTGCCAGTGGACCTTAGTCCTTCAACGAAAGAAGAAATCCTGAATTCAATCGGGCTCCTGAAGTCCGAGAAGATAGCAGGACCAGACGGAATTCCCCTAACCGAAAACGGATCCAGAGACCGCGGCAAATGTGCTCACGCCGTTACAGCTATTTAGAACGCTGTAAGACCTGGTATGAAATCGTGCTCTTGTCCACGCCAAGTAAAATACTAGGTCTCATCATCCTAGAAACAATAAAAGATGCACTGGAGAAAGAGCTGCCTCAAATACCGGAATAAGTTGAATTCAGGAAAGGTAGATCATGTGCTGGTCAAATTGAAAATTCTACGCATCGTCATCACAGAATAGAGCATAGAATGGCAATCAAAGACCTCTATACCTCAATATCACCGACCTAGAAAAGGCATTCGACAGACAGCTTTGACCGAGAAGTAACTACTTCAACACTACGGCGTGCAGAGCCCAAGTCTTTATCAACCTCATTCAACAGCTGCCACGTGTCAGGTGATGTACAACGGAAAACTCATTGAGGCGTTTTTAGTGCATACAGGAGTAAGACAAGAGTGGCTGCTTATTATCATCGATGATATTCTTAATTGTGGTGGACTGAATTATGAGTCAAATCGTGAGTTGGGAACGAGAAGATAGGAATACGCTAGACCATCGACAAGAAGATCCTAGGAGATCTGGATTTAGCGGATGATTTGTGCCTGATGTCACGCAAACCCGAATGCGTAGAGGTGAAAACCAAAACATTGGCTGAAGAAGCAGGCTGTGAAGATAGGTGAACATGGTGAAGGCGGATGGAGGTGATAAAGATAAACAACCAACCGACAGTAGCAACAACTACAACCAGCACCAATCCCCATCAACGGGAGGTATTTGACAGAGGTAACTTTCTTCACTTGTCTAGGAAGCATTGTTTCAACTGCAGGCGGTCTGAATGGATAAAGATTTCAAAGTCAGCCAGCCAGAATCAATAAGGCAAGATACACTTTCACTAACATGAGACCAGTTTTGAAATCTTCTACACTCAGCATAAGGAACAAGATTCGGTTTTTCAACACCGATGTCAAGTTGGCCAAGTCTCTATACGCGTCAGGAACTTACACTGCGTTTGCGTCAAGAAAAGGATATCCAACAGGTCACAACAGACGTTTATCAACAATTCTTCCTTCGCTGACTCCAAATTGAAGATTAAATGGCTAACTGGCCAGTCAGAAACCATTAGCAAATAGAAACTCTGTCTGGCAAAAAAAAACCAACAGGCGACAACAACCGGTCGCTCAACAAATATGTAGGAGAAAATGGAAATGGATGAATCGGGTATACGTTAAGGAGGCGGTTGAATGACATAGCGCTTAATGGAGGCCATCGTTCGACTGAAATGTGAATTGGAAGCGACGAGTGGGTCGTTGTT